CCCCATCCCAGACCCCGCAGCCTCCCTTCCCCATCCCAAACCCCACAGCCTCCCTGGAGCTCTAGGAGAGGTTTGCCTGACTGGGGTCTGAGTAAATGTCAGTGAAGCATCAGTCCCTGTGTAGTACTGAAAGATAGTTGTTAGTTCAGTGTGTTTTGTGTTGCCTGTGATTTGAGCACTGACTCCTCAGGGAGCTTGATGCAATCCTCATGAGGTTTAAAAATGTGATTGCAGGATGTGAGGGCATTCAAAAATAGGATTGCAGGAGACTGAGGGGAGACCTTGTCATTGTATACCACTTTCTCACAAGGGGAAGCAGAGGGACAGGCACTGATCTCTTCACTCTGGCAACCAGTGACAGGACCCGAGAGAATGGCCTGAAGTTGTGTCAGGGAAGGTTTAGGTTGGATATTAGAGCAAGGTTCTTCACTCAGAATGTGTTTGGGCACTGGAACAGCTCCCCAGGGCAGTGGTCACAGCCCCAAGCCTGACAGAGCTCAAGGAGTGTTTGGCCAGTGCTCTCAGGCACAGGGTGGGATGCTCAGGGGTATTCTGTGCAGGGACAGGAGTTGCACTTGATGATCCTTGTGGGTCCCTCCCAGCTCTGAATATTGTGTGATTCTGTGACATTGCATTTTTCACTTTACACCCAATTTTATACAGAGAGTTTCATGTGTGAGAATTTAAGGTCTGACTGTCTTTCAAGACTTCCCAGAACTTGGGCCCTATGATCATACACCTGTGTTGTGATCTTGGGGCTGTCCTATGCAGGCCCAGGAGTTGGACTCAGTGATCCTTGTGAGTCCCTTCCATCTCAGGACATTCAATGAATTTATGTGTTTAAAATACGTAAAACTTGTTTCTGCGTTGTGGATTTTCTAAAGCCTGCAGTTTTGTATTTACTTACTTTAACATGCTGCTTTCTATTTTTTGTTTGTTTGCTTCAGTGGTAGAATAAGAGCTTTGGAGAGGAATAAGCTCACAAAGAAGACCTTAGAACTGGCCCAGCAGTACTTCTTGCCCCCATATGCTTTCCAGATCCGAGTCGGTGCTCTGTACCTTTTGTATGGGCTCTATAATACACAGCTTTGTCAGCCAAAACAAAAGGTAATTGTTCTTGAGGGTTTATTCTCAGGAGATAGTAAACATAAGATATGTGGTATACTGCTGTCTGCTTTGTCATCATACATGGGTAGGGCATTTCCTCTCACTTTCTACAAAGGTATTTAGAACCGGATGTTTCCTTTGGGAAAAGTAGCCTTTCAAACACATTTGGGTTTGACAACGTACATAGTGGTGACTAAAGTATTGCTTATGCCTCCTAAATTTTAGCTGTGGTCTCAGAAATCTTTTGTTTTGCCAGATAGGAAGCTCTTCTCTGTTCAGAAGTGAAGGAGATTGAGTTTCAAAATGGGAACCAAATGTGCTCATCAGCTGCAGGGTGAACTCCTTTACAGCCCATTATTCTTTAGAATTCCAACAGAATGAAGATTGAATTATTTTCAGTTCCTGTTCACCAGAAGTGTTAACACACTGTTCCTGTTAACCAAAATAGATTGGGAGATGGATGCCTGGTGACATGCCTCCTTGCTGCTTTTAGGGTAGGAGACCAATGTCCAAAGGAGTTGGAAACTCAGTGCAAGGAGAAGTGTTAAACTTGGGAACTGTGTGATGCACATTGTGTGCATGTGCACAATGGAGTCCAAATTCTTTAAACAACAAACTGAATTTGGAGCAGTCTGCAATGATGCCATTATGCCTCGTGTATTGACTTCAGAGAGATCAATACCTTTCACGGAGATGAATTTAGGCAATTTTAAAATCACTGCTGTATAGCAGCTGTTAGAGAGTACATGAGTTATTCAGGAAGTTAACTTGGGCAGAGTAGATGTGGCAGGAGAGAAAGCAAGAAATGGGGGAGAGGTGTTTTCATGAGCATTTCAGTGGCAGCACATCCTGGCACAAGTATTGTTTCCTAATCACTAGTGAACAGGAGTCTCCTGGGGACAGACTATTTTCACACACTTCACAATGTGAAGAATTAATGTTTTCAAATGTCAAAAGAATGTGTTCCATGTCACTGTCAAGGAGAGCTGCAGTGAGAAGATTTAGCACAACACTATAATAAGTTGATCTGCATAAAACATTGATAGTGATACCAAATGTTCTGGTGAGATCATTTCTGGGGTTTCATGTGTCAAGCTACCCCCTAGACATCCAAATACTGTCTGTGGTAGAACAGGATCACATTAGTCAGCTGAGTTAATTTTTGTTGTTGAAGCATGCAGGGTGGTATAACAGTATGTAACTGTTTTGCTGCAGATCAGAATTGCACTCAAGGAAACATTGATAGTGATACCAAATGTTCTGGTGAGATCATTTCTGGGGTTTCATGTGTCAAGCTACCCCCTAGACATCCAAATACTGTCTGTGGTAGAACAGGATCACATTAGTCAGCTGAGTTAATTTTTGTTGTTGAAGCATGCAGGGTGGTATAACAGTATGTAACTGTTTTGCTGCAGATCAGAATTGCACTCAAGGACTGATTTTTGCAGGACCTGATAGACTCTGAGCATTATGATGCAGCATATATCTTCAGGACACTGCGGCTCGCCAGAGCATTCCATTTCACAGCAATGCCAAAACTAGTGAGTTACTGCATTAATTAGTTACATTTTTTAATAAAACATCCTCATCTGTCAGTGGCTTTCAGTGGCTATTGTTCCACGGGACTCGTGGTTAGTTGAGCCTCGAGGCTGTGTTGTAATGTGTGTGGCTTTATGTAGGTGTGTGTTGTAAAGCTTAGAGAATGTTTGAATGCTTCTCACCTGCAAATATTTTTTCAGTGTCTAATGTTCTTATTAGATTTGAGATGTCTTATCATTTGTGGAATTGAGTCTGGGTGCTGGATGAAAGTCTTGACTAGGGAATGATTTGTGACGAGTGCTGACTGAGCACGTGGCAGCAGAGTTGCATTGCTGTTGTTGGTGTGATGGTTTTATGTCCTTCAGCATCTCCTGATTGCTGGGTATGCAGTAGGAATTCTCAAGGGAAGGTCCCATTTGAAGTTTACTTTTAGGTTACAAACACTGTCTCTTGTTTTAGCTGAACTACAGAACTAAGAAGAAGGTTGAAGAAAATGACTTTAAAGAAGAATTTAAGGACCCAAGTAACAGAGTAAACAGCCTCATCACTAATGATGTATTGGAGGTACAGTAACTTTTAAACTGCAGATTAATCACTGGGGTTTGCTTTTCTGTTGTCCAAGAGCTATAACTTCTCTAATTAGCACAGTCTTGTCCTTTTTAAGTCTCTTATGGAATGCAGACTGGAATAGCAGCCTGTAATTTTAAGCTCACACACATGACACGTAACACTCAGAAATAATGGCATTCAGCTTGGAAGAATTGTGGTACCTTTTTCAGTACTGAAATATGCTCTAATATTGTGATTTTGCTTCAGTGAGATATAAAAGGGGAAGGGTGTAACTGGTTAGCTGTCATTAAAGAGAAATAGAAAATGGGAGGAGCATGTTTGTTCTGATACCTCTGCAGGTTGCAGCTGGAGACTTGATACTTATGGTGATGTGAGTTTATTTATCCTGCAAGTTCACAGCCTTCTCTAGCCTTTATTTCTCCTTTTAAAGCTTAGTTTTGTTCAATATATAACATATTTAATAAAAAATGGAATAATGCATGCCAGGTATATGTTCTTATATCTCTCATTATGACTCAGTAAGAGATCTTTGCAGGTTTTTCCAGTTACTGCTAGCAGATGTGTATCATCTGTAAGGATGACTGCAGTGGTACAAAAATCAGTAATCTGTGAAGAAAAAAGCTTCCTCCAAAGAGATGAAAATAGACCACTGTGTCAGAATGAAACCTCCCTGAACACTGAGTCTGAGTATCCTTCTTAGTTTAAAAAATGTGAGATACTTATTCTTCTTTTGCTTATTTGATGGGTCAGTGCAGGATTGCTTGTCTTCCTAAAACTCAGCTGATCTAAACTGAGTCTATGTCTAATGCTACTGCTAGTTCTATGGTCTCAGGCTTGTATAACCCTGATTTTGTTCACTGGGAACTGATACTATTTTTTCCCTCATTTTAATTTCTTTGTTTATTTTAGGAACTGATGAATATTCATGAGCACTATCAGAAAATGAAGTGTGTCATTTCAGCTGACAAATCCCAGCCAGACAAGGCCCTGAGCTTGATAAAAGATGACTTTGTAGTTAATCTTAAGGACATAACTGTGGAACATCAGGAATGGCAGCAGAACAGAATGGTGGGTAATATCAACCATTATGCTGTGGCAATTTAACAGATTGTGTGAGCATAAAGAACTGGCTTTCCTGGTGTGATCACACCTGAGCTTGTAAATCTCAGATTGAAGACATGGAATGTGTAAAACCTGAGACAGATATATGGTATGGGGGGAAGGACTTGCATGTGGTACTACCTCCATGGTACCAAAACTGATTGCTGAGAGGTAATCCTTGAAGGTGTGACTTATAGGCAGTATTGGACTGATGATATGAAATACCTCTCTAACACTTATTCTTGGATCAAAGAAAGGCCACAGGGTAAGATCAATAAAGAAAATGGGTGTGTGTGTAAATATTTGGTTTGGGTTTTACTGTTCTTGTATTTAGCTGTCTTATATATGACAGACATTTAAAAAAACCCACTTTTTTTCCCCCCCAGAAATTATTCCTAAATGCTAAAGAAACTGATGAAGTAGAAAACAAAAAGAAAGAAGAGGCTTTGCTAGACTCAGAGGTAAGAAAGCTGAACCAGTTTTCAGGTTCAAATCAGTTCATTTTTTGACTTCGGGTCACAGGCTAAGCTGTGTAGGTCAAGGCTTGATAGTGTCAAAGTGTGTTCCAGGGACAGCTAGTGGGGCTGGTTGGTTTTTCTTGTTTGGTTGGTTTTGGTTTTAAATAGGATTATTTTCTGTTGAGCTGTGAGCATTTACTGCCATGATAGCTCTGAGATGCTCATAATAAAAAGTCTCTCTCAGGTAAGGAGAGGAAAGAGCTGTATTTTCTTGGCCAGACTCTATTATGGTTCTTTCTGGAGTTTCAGCTAAATGCAATATTCATTGTTATGCTACAAAATTATCTCATACTGTACTTGTCTGCTTATTTCAACTTTGAATTTCAGTAAGATGAAAAGTTTCAAGTTTGATTTTCTCCTCCTGGGCTTACAAAGTTGCCTTCACTGTTTGTAACAGTGAAAGCAACAAAAGTTATGCTCTGCCTTTTAAATTAAATTGGAACTTTTTTCCTTTAAGTAACAATTCGGCAACATTCTGATTATGTAGAATTAATTAAAGAGTTATAGCTATAGTGAGCTATTGCTCAAATGATTGTCTGATGTGATATTTCAGTACTGCTATAATAGAATAAAAAAACTTTCTGACTGATCTTTTTGTTTCTTTGCAGGGTTCTGAAAGGGCAAATGCCTTGGCTAGAATCAAATACAGGTCTTACTCTGCAGTTGCTGAGGTAGTTATAAAATTTGATAGTAGGGATGTATTTAATTTTAATGAGCACTTCTAAGTATCAGTTGAACGTAAATTCTGGGTCAGAAAGGAACGAGTTAAAATTGCACTCTGTAATTCAACCTTTGAATCTTCTTGTTTTCCTAACTCATTGGGGGAAGCCAAAGCTCTTGCTATTGTTAGATCTGTGGAACAGTGCAGGTAAGGCCTGTGCTCGGGGGATTTTCCTTTGCAAGCTTTTACCGTCTACTCTCTGGTTAAATAGATACAATTTTAAGGAGTTGGAATAAAAATCCTTGCGAGTTTAATTGCTCAAATTCCTTGAATCTTAGATATTGGAATCTCAAGAAGCTTGTGCAAATGGAACTTGGGAGTTTGAAGTCAGTTGCAGGTTCTCAAAAGCATTGCTTCAGTAACTGCTGCTTTAAAGATCCTGCTGGTTTGTCGTTTTTAGCAGTGAGAAACGTCACATCTGTCTCTGTTTTTTAAAATCTCATCATTTGTGCTGTCAAATGAAACAGAGCTCTGGGTTGTACAGCAGTTCAGACTTGTGAATATGCAGTGATCATGTTTTCTAGGCACTTGAGCAAAATATGGTGGTAAGGAAGCTTTACAGAGCAGCAGTTTTTGGAGTGTTCTTTTTGCTTGCACAAAGTGGTGTGTGACATGGGATAGACTGATAGCAACAGAGAATGGTTTGGAAATAAGTGGATGTTTCATATCTGCATTTTTAAGTGATACACCCATGAAATCATAGAAGGGTGTTTTCTTCTTAAAACTGAAGAACAGCTACTAGTGGGAATCCTCCCTCCTCCTTGCTCTCATCTTCTATCCGTTCACCTCCTGGGCATGGAAGTTGATGCTTTGATCCTTACTAATTTGCCAAGTGACATAAACTTCCACTAACTTGCTCTATCTTTTTTTGTATCATTCATATATTTGGGGTTTAGACTTCCAAATCCAGAAGACATCGACAGGTAAAATTAGAATCTTCAGAATCAGGATCGAATTATGTCAAGTCTCCAAGCCGAAGTAAGAAAACCAGTATGAGACCACAACCAGCAAGGAGAGGTTCTTCAGAAGCCAGAGGTATCTCTCCAGTTTTGCATCCAGACACTGTAAAAGTGTATCCATTGCTTTGCTAGCTGAGGCAGCTGGCTTAAATTTTTGCTGTTGATCAGCACAACAAATGGGAAATTACTTTTCCTAAGGGAATTGTCTGTCTGATGTACAACTTCTAAACTGATAGAAGTTGCTCTGCCATTTACATTATTTGTTAAAGGTTAAATGAAATTAAACAACAAAGTAACTTTGAATTGTCTTTGAAATTAAACCTTTGTCTTCAAAACAAAGTTCCAAACTCTGCTTTCTGACTTGCTTAGCTTCTGCTAGAGAAGAAGTTACCGAGAAAATTAATCCTTCTTCAGAGCTGAGCATTAGGCACTATTGTCTTTGCCTGACTTTAAATGTAGGTGAAGTGTTGAGGAGGAGTAAGGGCATTTTGAATTATCTCTGGACTGAGTTGGTGATTAATTTGCTTTAAATTGCTAGTGTCAATTACTTGTTATTGAAGGTTTCTTTAGTCAGCCATATTGAAGGTGCTGTGAAGGTACTTTCTCTACAGCATTTGACTAGAATGTCAAGAGAGCAGCAAGTGAAAAATCCTTCAACTGCTGGACTAGAGATGTAGAAGCATTTAAAAAAGTGCTGACAGTTTTTCCCCCAAAATTTGTCTGCAGGTGAAACTGTTACTCAGCATATTGGGATGCCTGTAATCACAGAGGACTTGGATGAAGAAGGTACAATGATTAGAATTCTAACAAACCAGTGACTTGATCTGTGCTGTATTTTTCTGAAACTAAAACTGGTATTTTGGATCATGTCTTGCTGCCTTGCAAAAGCTTAGATTAGTTTTTAGCCTGTAAGTTGTTGCATGAAAACTGAAGCTTTGATTTGAAACTGTTATGAGCACACCATGGTAAAATCCAGAGTCATATTTTTTGCATAGATTTTATTATAGTGTTTTCAGAGCTAAAGTTGGTTCAGATAAAAGGAGTCTCACTCTTGTAATACAAATCTGGCTTGAATTGTTCCATTGGGTAGGGAAAAGTGATTTTTTTTTTGATCATTCACCCATTTACAGAAGATGTCTGTTCTAGTAGCTCTGAGAACTTACAAGGTAAGAGCTGCCCTTGCTGTCCTTACCTTTGTTGAAGGGACATAGAAGGTTCCTCTCTAGTCTTAGTTTCAGCTGGGCTATGATTCAAGGATTAAGTTCCAGTACAGCTGTACAGTAATAGCATCCTCTGCTGTACTAGAAGTTGTTTGACATCGTTGGGAGAGGACTCTGGGAACTGCAGCAGAGGAGTGGATGACTTTGCTGTTGCTCAGGTTACTGGAAATAATGTAATTTAAGTTTGGAAGCAATGGTAAAGCAGAGTGCTCAAAGCTTATAGTGGAGTTGCTCTACAGAAGCCTCAAATTGAGATGTTAGATGATCTTGACCTGCTTTGTAACTCAGAAGCTTCAGAGTCTGTTGTCAGTGTTGCTTGAGGAGAACATAAGCACCATGGAACAGGCACTGTATGAAGAAAATTACATCCTCTTTATCTTGAGGTACCTTATTTAGCTGTGCTCTGGGTAGAGCCCAGGGAAATGCTTTGCTGTCATGTCTCAGCCATGGCCAGCTAAGAGCAGGATTTCTGCTGGCAGTCCTAGCAACTCTAAGGCTGGTGAGTCTTGCTTGTGCAGTGGAAGGCAGACTTGATAGACCAGAGGTACTGGTTATTAACCTGAAAAGAGGATTTAATTAGGTTGCTTAAAGAGGGAAGCAAAGGGTTAAGTATAACTTCTGGAAAGCTTTAATGACAGATGGGCTTGAGGAGTGTATCTTTTGGAGCTAATTTACTATCCAGAATTGTATGGAATGGAAGGATATTTCATACACGAGAGTGTAATGACTATTAAAATACATTTGCAGTGAGGTAGCACATTTCTGTTTACTCTTTTTAAAAGCAAAAGAGCATCTGGTAGTACTGAAGTGAGATTGCATTCTTTGATCACTTTTAGTGGTAGGCAGTGGGAATTCATTCCGTTTTAAATGGTGAGATTGAGGGCACAATGGTGCACTTAATGTTGTACTTTATTTACTTTTCCTTCACTTGTCCAGTTGTGGGCAGAAAGTTTCTTTCTAAATCAGGAACATTCTCCATTTCTCAGATTTTCCCAGTACATTCTGAAGTTTTAAATTTACCCATTAAGCAGCCTGTTCATTTATTTTGTGCTTAATTTTGTGAGTTGTTCCATTTGTGAAATTCACAGCAACATCTTAAAGGTGTTCATGAGGAGCAGAAAGCTCTCAAGACTGAGGAAGTTTTGAAGTACAGCATTTGGTTCATCAGTGGAATTTCAATTGGTGTTTTGAATAGTAGTGTGCTGTAGAATCTAAAAAAAAATACTTCTTCATATTTAAATAAACATGGGGAGGGGGATTGGGAGGGGATCTCAAGTGCTCATCTAATGAATTTCCTTTGCTGGAGAGTATTAATTATACTTGAACAATTCCCATGAGGGAAGACAACTTGAAAAACTTGTAAAAAAAACCCCTCTGTTTATTTCCTTTCAGAAGTATCTCTTCCCAAGAGGAGAAGAAGATGCTAGAGGATCCAGTTGGAGAAGTATCAGTGTTAATTTTAATGACAAAATGTAAATGTCAGAGGTAACACAAAGTGCTTGTTTTGGATGCCTTTGAACATACAAGAAGTGTCTGGGACCAGAACTACAGGTGCTGCTGGAATACTGGTGATGACTGGGATACCTTAGCTGTCCTGTGGTACAGCACTTGGTACCTTTATTCACCTGGTGAATACTTCTTGTGGGAGACGAAGTTGCTGTGTCCTGTCTGAGATGGAAGGAGAAGGTGGAGACTCGTTGTATTTAGCTTGTATGATGTGAGTTATGACTTGGAACTCGTGTTGATCTGCAGTGATGGTTTTAGCTGAGACTGTTAAAAAAACCAGCTTACAAAATATTTCCCCTTAGAAGACATGTTCGTAATCTTTTATCTCTGGACATAAGGTTACTGACTGTTGAAAATTAGTACAATAAATTATTTTTCACAGCTTCTTTGCTGCATTTTATTGTGTTTAACTTCACTGTTTGTCATGGTTTGATCTCACACATGTGGAAATGAAGTTGGTGATAAGCCATTTGTACCCTGTCTCCAGTAGGTCTGGAATTGTTGTGTATTTGAATGAAGAGATGTAAAGTGCAGTTATGAATTCTGCAGATTATCCTAAGCTGCACAAGGGAAGGACTGGAATTCAAAATTCTCTTTAGAAATTGGAGGGGAGTGGAAGATGTGGGTGTGGAAATAAATATGGAGAGAAGAAACACAGGATGGGGAAATGATTGCTGGGCAGAAGTGGGGCAGGAAAAGCAAACAGACTGAGAATCATCAGCTGGAGTGTTTCCCATAAACTATAAAAAGCAGTAGAATTTGTCACTCAACCCTGAAGGGCCTCCTCTGACCTCTTCTGACCACAACACTGCAAGAGGAATGTGGATAGTTATTCTTCTTGGAATTTCTCCAGTTGGTCACAGCCATGCTATCAAGAAAGGCCAAAGGAATTGAGGTGTCCTTTTCTACCAGATGAAATATAAAAGAGAAATTTGAAAGATTTTAAATATAAAATGAACCTAAACTGAACGAGATAGTCTGGTAGTTACAGCTGTCAAAGGCCAAAGGAATTGAAGTGCCCTTACCTGGAAGAAAAAACATTTAAATGGAAATATAAATGGTTTTACTACAAAAGGAATCTGTCTTAAATGCATTGGTTGACAAAGTGGAATGTGCCTAAGTGCTGAACAGGTTGGACACTGAAAGAGCTGGTAATTAAGCACCAGTGTTGCACTCAACCTTGTTGATGGGAAAAGAGGGAACACTTTGTAATAAAGCTAAAACCTTCTTGCATAGCAAAGTGAACAATGGAATATTCAGCTGAATGCCAAAATCTTTACAGTCTAATCTAAAAGCCATTATTAGTTCAGATCTAATTATAACAGAAAAGGAATTCTTCTATACATTAAAAACCACCTCTGCAGTGGTAATAATACAGTTAAATTTATTTTGCGTAGACTAAGATTCTGCCTTTTTTTCCTGGTTTAACATTGACTCTTCCACTGCCCTTCTGGTCCTAGAGGTTGTTGGGCTTTGTGGATAGAACATGCCATAGGTGTGATCTGTTTTAAACAGACTCATCTGTAGTTAGAAAGATTTTGGAACAGTTTGGTTTTACTTGGGTTTTCTGATGGTAACAATGAGTGTGCTTTTCTGTTACCAGCACAAACTGCCTCTGTGCATTTCTGCTCCTCATTTTTGGTCAGCAGGTACAAGAGACATGAAGAGACCTCAAGGGTAACTTAATCAGACTTTTTTTTTTTTCTCAAAATTTTCTACTTATCTTGTTGCAGCCAGGATCCTGTTGATGCTGCTGCATTTGACAGATTTGTCAGTTCCAGCTGGTGCTCTGGGTGCAGTGTAGGTGGAATGGGGAAGAAGTTGGACATGAGGTGCAGTGGAGTACTTGAATCTCTTCTTGGCTAAGGAAGACAGATGAGTTCTTTCTAGCAGATGTTGGGACTACAAATTCTTTTTTCACTTCAGAAATCGCTTAAGCATGAATTTTACAGCCCCAATCCTGCTGTTTTCTAGACACTGAGACTCATCTAAGTCCTCTAGCTACAAGGGCAGTGGGTTCTTCCCTTGAAGGGAAACTTGAAAGTGACATATCTTTTCTGTTCCCCTCCCAACTTGCAGGTATCTTTCTCAAGGAACCTAAAGATTAGCTACAGCTACAAAACCTTATTTTTGACTTCCTTGACAGGCTATTTTCAGCTAAATTGTTATCCAGTGTGGATGGCATAAGTTAATCTTAGCATGTTTAAGGAGTATGTTTCACACTGTTCCCTGCAGTGGCACTTTTTCATCACATGACCATCTTGTTTGCCTCTCCTTATACCTTTGAACCACCCCAAGAGCTGAGTAGGGGGTGGAATTTGTCATGACATGAGCCTTCCCTGCACACACCTCTGAAAATGATTTGCAAGTCCCCTATGGAAACATGCAGAGGCTTGACGGGGCACAGAGATGGTGCATTCAGGTAGCAGTTATTTTAATATTGGAATTAGGAAAACAAATGTTCTGTGGCTTGTTTATTAAATTGCATAGATGTAAAATGGAAGTTATGATTAAGAATAAACTTGGAACTGCTGACTGTATGCATGGTAATGGTTCAAAACAGTAATCCTGAGAGTTTAGAGGCAGCTGTAAGCAGAGTTTCATAATACTGGTGTAATCTTTAAAAAAAATAATAAAAAATCCCTTGCTGCAGTCTGATGGGCAATTACAGGCTTTGAAGAGCAGGAGAGGGACTTCCTCAAATGCTTCATCAAAGCAAGCAGCTGTCATTAAGAAAAACATAACAGTAATTCTGGACTTGCAGATAGTAGTAGTAGACTTTCTAGTACTGAAATTCTCTCCTGATTGTAGCCTCAGTGACTACAGTAGTTAAAGGCTGCAAGGAAACTTCATCTCTGTACCACCCGTTTAACTTCCAGCTGTGCTGATGGATAGTGAGGCAACATGACACTATGTATCTGGATGGTGTTACAGTTTTCATAAATATGGTTTGGCTGAAGCTTCTCTGAGGTGGCTAAACAACTGCCTGAAGAACTACATTCATGCAATAGTAATCACCATTTCTTTGGCAAAGCTAAAAGATCCTCTTAAGTGGAGGTT